TTTTTTTTAAGTATTTTTATTGGACATGAGATAAAATGTTAGTATATATATTTTTTTGTCACTTTTTTATCATTTTTTACATTCACTATTTGATACGTGAACTCTACTATCTCATTTTTTATTTAAATAATAATATATTATGTTAATAAATTTTACGTGTCAAATGATAAAGACAAAAAATAAAAAATGACAAATAGAGTGAGATAAAGTGACGCTAGATATGAGTAGTATTTCTCATATACATATGTATATGTGTGTGAAAGGGTCAAAAACCTAACCTTTACATGTTTTGGTGGTGGCCAGAATATGGAATGTATGTGGGTATGCACTATGCAAATGCTTTTTCTATTCTTTTTCAAACCAACCAAATGATGTTATCCTTTTTGAAGAAAGAATAGTTGGTTGAAAAAATTGCTTCTTTTTGCTAAGCAATTGAGTTCAAACTTGCATGCTCTTGTAGTTGTTCTCTGAAAATACTTCAACCAAACAAAAATATAATAAAGAATAAAGAAAACTTCAGAAAAAATTAAAAAAAAAAAAAAAAAAGGAGAGACAAAATATTATTGCTTGCTTTCTGAAGGTTCCAACAAGAACTTGACGACCCTGCAGCAGAACCAATAATTTTCGCAGATAAAACATAAAATAAATATTTAAATTCCGACGCCCCAAAAATCAGACTTACCCGCCATTATTACAGCTTTACCGTTAACGGCATGACTTTTAATACTCCGCTGTAAATTGTACAATACACCAAAGGAGCAAAATCTACTACACTGTTGCTCAACATACTCTTTAGCTATTGTCTAATAAAAACTTGCCACGTAATTAGCCCAAATGGGTGATTTGGGTACCACATGACGTGCCACTATCCTAGGATTTTATGCACTGTAGACAATTTATTTTCCACTGGCTTTTGGTTAAAGTTTTTAAAGTAATATTGACAAATATTTTTAAAAAATGTATTAATCAGTATTTTTATTATTCATTCTTAATTTATAATTTTTTAATTAAATAATTACACACTAATAAAATAATATTATCAAAAATAAAAAATAAAGTCTAATTTATATATTTTTAAATTTAAGTATTGTTTATTTTACCGATTTGAGTTTTTAATTTTAGGTTTTCATAGTTAAAAACTCTCAAAAAATATCACATCTAATTTTTTCTATTACAGTAAAAAACTCTAAAAAAATGTCATATCTCAACTCGAATTAAAAACTCAAATTCGTGAAGTGAACTTGACCTTAAATTCTCCGGCCTCATTCATTTCACCATTTTGAGTTTTCAGTTATAGATTTCTACAATTAAAAGTTTTTAAAAAATATCACATTTAACTTTTTTTATTATAATAAAAAATTTTAAAAAAATATTATATCTCAACTCAAATTAAAAACTCTCAATCCGCAAAACGAACGAGCCATCCATTTTTTTCAAAGCTCAAGGACCAAGCCAACCACTATCACCCCCAAAAAAACCAATCTTCTTTGTTCAGTTCCATTTTTGCCCCTCCTCTCCTCACGCTCCTCTCTGCATAAACTACTTTACAGTTCAGTTTTTTAGATCTAAGACCAACCAAAACAGAATCTCTCTTAAAAAAAACATTTTTTTAATTGGTCCGAGTGACCATTAAACTGTACATGAACTTTCACCTCTTAATCTGGGTCCTTGGAGTGTTCAATCATTGGGAAAAAAAAAAAAAAACTCACACCCACTTGTTCCTTTGTTTTTTTCATCTCCAAGTTTGATTTTTTTTTTGTTTTTTGAAAATCTCTTCTCAGTTTCTTCGACCTTGTTCATAAATACAAGGTGCTTGATCTGGGGTTCTTCCAATTTTGAAGTTTAACAAATTTATTGGAGTATTTTTCATGCAAGTGATTGACATGTACTCTTCTTTTTTTTTTTTTCTTGTTTTTATTAATTACTAAAGTGCTTTATACTGACAATCTTGATTTCTTCGTAAAGATTTTAGGGGTTCAGTTATGGTAACAAGTTGTAAATGCATCAATTAATTGTTGTCTTCATTGTTTAGTGTCAGAAAAACAGAAATCGTTTTGAACTCTTCCTTCGTTAAGCTGGTTTTAAGCTTCTAAACTCTTTATACACTTGAGTAAATACAATACATATGTTCTCCATTTCTGCTTTTTTTCCTTTTGGGGTATTATTATTGCATACGCAAAGTAGCCTTGTTTCTACGCTGAGCTAGACCTTAGAAAGTTTCCAATTGTTTGTTCTGAGAAATGTTCATAACGGCTGAAAATGAACAGATCTCGTTGTCTTAAGTTAATGTAAAACAGCCCTTCAAGTTCAAATCATCATCTTTAATGGAATCAAATCCGGATTCCCCTGATGGGCTTCCATTAATTTCTGAGTTGTCTGATTCCCCTCCACTTCCCACCATTTTTACTGACGTCAATGTTGTTCCCGAGCACGAGAAGAACCAGCTCTTACAGTCCATATTAAATCTGGAAGGTAAAACTTTTTGACCAAGTTAAAGATTTTTTTTCTTAGTTTTTGATACTTTAAAATGTCATTGTCATATAATTAAGAATCATGTTGTTTTTGGTTTTCTAGGAGAAATTGCGGATTTGAGGCTAAAGCACAAGCTATGGAATGAGAAGAGGAGAGAGGCATTGAATAAGATATTGGACATCAAAGGTGGTGGATCGTGGTTAGTTTAGTCAAGAGGTTATTTAAAAGGCTGTTTAAGTATTAATCTGTGGACTTGATTTTTTTAGGCAGCATTCGAGTTTTTTGTCGAGTTCGGCCATTCCTAGAGATTGACAGGAGAAGAATTCGTGAGCCCATTTCAACTGGATCAGAGAAGATTGTGGTTAAGTCTGGTGGCACTAGAAAAGAGTTCGAATTCGACAAGGTTTTCGCTCAAGAAGTAAGCCAAGGTGAGATGTCTGTTCAAGTGGAAATGCGCTTTCCCCGAGTTTTACTCGAACACATTTGATGCAGTTCTAGTTTTAGTGAGAGACTCTTGTGGTTGAGAACATTGCAGGAGATGTATTTGTTGAGGTGGAACCAATTCTGAGATCTGCACTTGATGGGAATAACGTTTGCGTTTTAGCTTATGGTCAAACCAGCACGGGCAAGACTTTTACAATGGTTGGTAGTAGAAAGCCTTTTTCATGAAATTATTGTTGCATCCATATTCTGGCGGCATATTCTGTTATTGGTCTTAAAAGTACTATAACTGGTCTGAAATGAATGTACAGGATGGTACAAATGAGCAGCCAGGGATCATTCCTAGAGCTCTAAAGGAACTCTTTCATCAAGCCTCGTCCGAAGGCGAATCGTTAACTTTTTCGATGAGTATGTCAGAGGTTTACATGGGCAGTCTTAAAGATCTACTTGCTGCGAGACCAACTTATAGAGCATATGAGCCTGTGACAAGATGGTAACTAACTCTAATTATATTGTTACTTTTAATTAGACTAATTATTTGTTAAGCTGCTTACTAGATTTGGCTGTCTTAACTGCAGCAATCTCAACATCCAAACAGATCCAAAGGGAAGTGTGGAAATTGAAGGTCTTACGGAAGTACAAATCCTAGATTATGCTAAAGCCAGATGGTGGTATAACCGCGGGAGGCGAGCTAGATCGACTTCGTGGACTAGTGTGAATGAAACATCCAGTAGGTCTCACTGGTGGGTTCCAGATCTAGTTAGTTATTTCAGAAAATTTCATTGCAGTTATTTGGTTTGATAATTGCGTTATCTGTTTAGCTTTATATAATCTAGCTTAACAAGGATAACCATTTTCCGACACGGGAATGGTTCGTCGGAAGCTAAAACCGAAATAAGCAAACTGTGGATGGTTGATCTCGGAGGGAGTGAGAGATTGTTGAAAACAGGAGCTAGTGGGCTAACACTTGATGAGGGAAGGGCCATAAACCTTTCTCTTTCAGCTTTGGGTGATGTTATTGCTGCTCTAAGAAGGAAGCGTGGTCATGTTCCTTACAGGTTATTTTACTTGCTACTTTTGATTGTCAGCTTTAGTTGATATCTTATTCTTCTTCTTTGCAAAATGAAAGCTTGGAGAAGGGGCCGTCAGATACTGCTTTTTTTTTTTTTTTTTTTTTTTTTTTTTTCTTTTCTGCTGGTCCAATTATTTTAACTTCACCTGATTTTACTTTATCTCTTGGGTTGCAGGAATAGTAAGCTAACTCAAATTCTCAAAGACTCCCTAGGTAATTAATCCAGAATTTTGTATTCAATATTTCAGACAAGTTCATACTATAGTCTATATTGTAACATAAGCCAATTTTTGATGTCACAAATAGAGACAGTCCTACATAGTATATTATTATAGATGGTACCATCAAAACTGTGAATTTGTGGCATTAAAAAATGCTATAAAAGTAGCCGGAATTCCGATTCATTGTCTTGGTTCAAAAGGGTTAAAATTGGGTATTCTCATTTGCAATAGGTGATGGTTCAAAGGTGTTGATGCTTGTGCATGTGAGCCCATGTGAAGAAGATGCTGGGGAGACAATCTGTTCATTGTGCTTTGCAAAGAGAGCAAGAGCAGTGGAGTCTAACAGGGAACAAGTTGAGGTACTTGTCTTCTCTTTTGCTTAATTACTGTGTTCTTGTTGCTCTCATCAATGTAACATTATTATTGGCAATTTCTGTAGGACCTAAAGAAGCAAAAGGAGAAAAGGGTCCATGAGCTCGAAGAATGCATGAGAGAAGCAGAAGAAGAGTGTCAGAAAGTCAAGGATCAAATTCAGAAAGCTGAATTCCTTCTAATTGAGAACAAAAGGCTCCACTCAAACGCTGATCAACCACTTGAATATGAAGAAAACTCCCCTGAAAGTCCAAAACAAGAGCTAAAGGCAGTAACAGAAACCCACCACCAGTCTGATCAGAAAGCCACTAGAAGAATCATTTCTAGATCCTTGCCCCGGTTCATGACATCCACCGTCGCCAGCCGCGAAAGGCAAAGCGCGTCGGAGAGGGACATTGTCGGAAAAGCAAGAAGTCTGAGGTCGACAATGAGAAGTTCAATCCAGTTCACAGCTTCTCATTCAATTAGCTTTTCGGATCGCCGTTTCAAAGCAAGTTTACAGAACTCGAGCAGAAAAAAACATGTTGAAACAGATAATGTTGTTGTCAACATGACTGAAAGCCCAAAATGCAGTGGCTTAGACACTAAGTCAACCTCTTTGACAAGAAGTAAAATGGTAACCTCGTCTGATCCAAACTTAAGAGCCAAACTTTGTCGTCACAGAAGAAGGATGTCAGACCTGATCTAAGTGTGCAAAATAAAGAAGAGCTTGTTATTTTTTTTTTTAGCTGTTCTTGTGTGGAGTTGTAAAATGTGTGTGCTTTTTGGGTTCATGTCTTAATTAGCTGAAAATTTTGAGTGTGATGGTATACATATAGTATTATTATAGGGTGATATAATATTCGTGTTTTTTTTTCCTTGGGTGGAAACAATATTAGCTTGGTTTTGTGGGTTTTCTTTTTAAAACATGGAAAAGAAAATGCCCACATGAATTTAAAATTACGATTCAGAATTATTCTCATTTTATGTGTGTTTTTTATAAGAAAAAAATATTATAAAAAATTATAAATCATGATTCAAAATTAAGAATGAATATAGAAAATAAACGTCTGTACAGATTGTTGGATTGTAAGTCATGGACCAAGGTGTCGACACTGATTATTTAAGGAGCCGAATGGGTGGGTGGCAGCAGCTCTGTAGTCTGTCCCACCGTGGAATAGCCTTTATGAAAGCTTTTTACTTGCTTTTGCAACATATATATATTTTTTATTTTGAGAAAATTACATTCTGCTGCCTTATGTTTTATGAAATTAGTGGATTTGCAAATTGTATTCTAGTACTTAAGATAGCACCAAATCAGTATAACATAATGTAATATATATATATATATATATATATATCTATCTCCTCAATCCTCTCCGAATACGACCGCTTGTTTTTAGGACTTGAAAGATTCTTTTAAGCCATTTTAACTAAAAACTCTAAATTAATTCTTTAATATATAAAATTTTAAGAAAACTCCAAAAAAAAAAAAATTAAGAAAACGAAAAAAATAGGAAATCTGCGCTTGAGGTGTGCAACAAACCATTCAAACTAACAAAATTAAGCCAAACTAATTAATAATCAGTTTAGTTTAGTTTAGTTTTAATTTTTAAAAAAACTAATTAAATTTGTTTGGTTTAGAGCACGTTTAGTTTTATGATTCGAGTTGAAATGTGACTTTATGTTAAAGTGTTTTACTGTAGCAAAAAAGTTAGATGTGACTGTTTCTGAGAGCTTTTTATTGTAGCAAAACTCAAATTCTAAACTCGAATCGGTGAAATGAACGGGACCATTATGGTTTTAACATTTAAAATACCAAGCCAATTCAATTTAAATTTATATTTTTTTAATATTATATATATTTTATAGATCTGTAACGTATTCACATATAAGAGTACGTTTATTCCAATATTAAATGATTATAACTCTAGATGTTTCTTTTATAAAAAATGTCTATCATACAAAATATTAATACGAGTTACAATTAAGGGGTTTAAGAAGAGGTTATAAAATATTAATTTAAACCAATTAGAAAAATCAAACCAAACTAATTATAATCAGTTTGGTTTGGATTGAATTAAATCTCTTAGTTGGTTTGGTTTGATTTAAAAATCTTTAAAGTAATTTGTAATTGATTTGGTTTTTGCACACCCCTAATCTGCACTGTGCATATCACAATAAATGGAAAGAATTGTTCCATCAATATATATTTGTATATGGAAAGAATTGTATAGAGATAATTTTGTCATTATAACGCTTAGTTTTAATTTTTCTTTTCGCAATACATTCCTTGATATTAGAAACTATAAGATTATCCTTTTTATGAATTTCAATTTAAAATATCCATCCTTTAAGAATTTTATGGACAAAACAAAGAGAGAAAAGGACAAAGATATCCTACTTATACTTAATTTATTACAAAGAGAAAAAAGGACAAAGATATCCTACTCATACTTAATTTATTTTAGACTTTTTATGAGAAATTCTAAAGAACTTTTAAACACTTAAAAACCATAAAATTTCAAAAAGAAAAATATATTATAGAATTTACTTGAAGGGTTTTATGATTTTTTAGTGTTTAAAATATTTTTAAAAATTATTTTAAGTGGTATTTATGTTTTTTCGTTGTGTTTTCATAAAAAAATGAGAGTGATGAAATTGACACAAATTTTCAAAATTTATAAATATCTACTTCATTATGAATAAAACTCGAAGATAGATTTATATAATTTTCGACTTGTATAATCTTTTTGAAAGAAAGATATATTTATGTAACTATCTCATTGTATATGAATAAATGGAATCAATGGCTTTTCACTGAAAAAAAAAAAAAATCAATGGCTCTCTTAAGGAAATTAATGACGTTTACCACGTATTAATATTAACCCCAGTCTGCTAAAAAAGAAAAAGCAAAACCCAGGACTATCCTGCACGGCCGCATCACCGTAATATTTCCCTCTCAAACGACTGCACGTTCCTCTAAACGACATTCTAGCGGCACGTTTACAAACAAAAAAAGAAAAACCAAATTACGTTGTCACAGAAACCGACGTCGTTTCGATGTCTCCAATCTTCTAAGCCAGAAGAATCCGGCGCAGATTGACACACACACACGAACACCATTCTTCTTCTCGAGTCGGAACTGGAGAAGAAAGGGCCATAGATTTCTTCATTAAACGGAGAAAAATCGCCGATGGCGTTGTCGTCGCCGCCGGCGAAGGGCGTGGTGATCACGGTGCCGGTGCTAATACTGGCTGCCTCGGTGGCTGCAATCTTCTTCTTCTTCCTGTTGTCCTCTCTCTCCTCCTGCGATTGCCCGCTGGCAGCTACTTCCGGCGTCCCCGTTCCCGACCGCGCCGGAGAAAGTTTTGCCGCGCCGGTGACCGAGCGGATATGGGCGACGAAGGAGGACGTGGAGTGGGTGAGGGATCAGATCCGCGTCAATGGGCTGCATATGCAGGACAATGTACTCCGTAAGGGCATTAACCCACGCACTAGAGCTCAGCAACTTCAAGATCTCTTACAGTTCGTACTCTCCTATCCATCAATCTCTCACTATAAGTGTTTGTGTGTGTTTGAGTTTTTATTTGTGACGGGCAATTAGACTTGCGAGCTGTGAGTTCCTTTGATTTGTGCGTGGATATTGGAATGATTTGTGCTTCAAATAGCTCCATGAGTGCGTTTTTATATGTCCAAGCAAGATCAAACAAAACGATTCACATAAATGTCTATTCCGTCTCACGTGAGGTTTGGCTTGTATGATAATAATGCTCTGTTTGATTTGTCAAATTGCTGGGTTATCTGCCAAAATTGAAAGATCAAAACTTGAAGTTATTGCATTTCTAAGAAATGCTAATACAAATGCTAGGTACAGGACAAAGCTGAAAAGTCCAGAGATTTGTTCTTAAGTAGTTCTGTTTAGTTCTCTTGGCGACTAAAATGGAGTTTGTTGTTCCTTTTTACCATGTGATTATGATTTAATTGAGGGCTATTTTTTTTTTTTCTGTAATAGAAACAATGTTCAACGAAAAGTTTAACTGAAACTACTGTTACTTTTTTTAGATTCAAGGGAATTTCCCACTATGAAGGACCCGAATCAGACAATCACACTGCCCTCCCATGCCCTGGCGAGCTCCTTGTTGAAGAGCACCACAGCAACTATGGCGAGCCCTGGGCAGGAGGACGGGACGTGTTTGAGTTTCTTGCTGAGTCAACGCACCTGAGGCCCAACTCTTGCGTTCTGGAGATTGGATGCGGCACCCTTCGAGTTGGTTTGCATTTTATCCGCTATCTCAATCCTGAACACTTCCACTGTCTTGAAAGAGACGAGCTCTCGTTGATGGCTGCTTTCAGGTATGAGCTTCCTTCGCAAGGCCTACTGCACAAGCGTCCTCTTATTGTGAGAGGTGAAGAAATGGACTTCAATAAGTTTGGTACAGAAGTTGTCTATGATTTGATCTATGCTAGTGCCGTGTTTCTCCATATGCCTGATAAGCTTGTGTGGGTTGGACTAGAGAGATTAGCAAGTAAACTGAAACCCATTGATGGGCGAATCTTTGTGTCGCATAATACTAAGTTCTGCTCACGGTTAGGTGGAGATGAGTGCACTAAGAGGCTCAAAAGTTTGGGCCTTGAGTATCTCGGAAAGCATACACATGATAGCTTGCTTTTCAATCACTATGAGATCTGGTTCGAGTTTAGGCGGTTTAAAACCTAGGATTTTGATGGTTTATTACTTTTGGTTTTGGCATTCCTCAATAGAAAGACCAGATTGAAGCTGCAGGTGGATGCTCTTGTTGCATTGAGAAGAGATTTTTAAAGTCTGTGTCTGACACCTCTTGTTGATAATTGTATTTGAAAGAGAAGCAGCGGATAATATTTGACGGGGAATTTTCTTGGTACATCAGTAGTTTATGTAGAAAGCTGAGCCATGCTTTCTATTTTGTCTGTATGTTCGTCTAGGGAAGGGAACTTGTAAGCTTCCGATCTTTCAACTCTGAATGCAAATCTATAATCATTTAATTATATGTACTGTCACGTTATTTAATCACTATACTGAGTTTGAGATACTAGCTATAACAGCTGTAGTATTTGCATTCACTTCATTGACTAAATACTAATGTTATTTTCCCTTTTCCCATTTGTGTTGGTTGGGAGAGGAGTGTGATGCTGGTTATAACTTATACTTATGAAGCGAAAGTTTGAACGGACGGAATGATTTGATTGGTTGATGCGAGGGTAAAAAACTCGTGAGCATGAAAGTAGCATATTTGAAAGTTTGAGACTTTTTGATTTACTTTAGTTGTGTTTTGAAGGTACTAAAAATAGGTCCTTGACTTCACCTGAGAGGCTCTTCAAAAAAACTTCGAATGCTTTTGTGACATTGTTTAACCGTTCTGGTTCAAATGTCTTTCAGTGAAAAGAGTGTTTTGATTTTTGAAGATTAGTTTCTGTTCCCCCCCCACCACTTTAGTGGCCCGTGTTTCCTTGTTGTGTGGTAAACGACGTGAAATTATCATGGGAATGCAATGTTGTTTATTTGAAACGACAATCACTATGTCGTTTATTTCAAACGACAACAGCACTTTTAGAAGTAGGTAGTTGTGTGCAACAAGCTTCTAACGACGAACGCTCGTTCGTTACGAAAAATATTTTTTTCTAAAAACAAAAGCGACATCTCGTCTCAACAAAAGACAAGATATGAAGTTTCAGCTCAAAGACAACAAAATTTAGAAATCAAACGATGTCGTTTTACAGAAAGAGCGACAACGGTATTTATTAAGCGGCAAACGAAAAATTCTGAAATAAGGCCTCCGATGAAGGACCCCAGATCACCTCCGAGTCTTTCACCCTTCTCCATAAGTTTATTTGTCACTGCTCTGTCATTTTAGCTCTCACCCATTAAAATTTCAGAAGAAAAATGCCGCATTTGAGGATTGGTTCCTTCAATTTTACAGTTTTTTTTTGGGCAATTATCAATTAGTGTTGTTATTTTTTTTAAATATTTAGTTGATTAATTTTAGGCTTTGCGGATGAATTGAAAAACGCGAGAAAATTAGGATCTTTCAAGCAATTTATGGTAGGTAGAAGCAGTGAAGCGACATTTTCGAATGCTTTTGAGAAACAAGAAGCTATAATTCGATATCTTGGAGGCTTTGATGCCACAGGAGAGGTGTATTTTTTTACTCTAATTTAATGGGTTTTTATTATTTTTTGTCATTTGTTGATAGTTTTTTAGATTTTAATGTTTTGTAGAATCTCCAAAGCAATCACAAGCAAGAAGCAGCAAAGAATTGTAATTACACGATTGCCGATGTTGAGAATGCTCTGGTCAAGTTTACGTGGGCCAAAGAAGCATAAAAGAAGATAGAAAATCTAAAGAAAGAAGGAAAACCAATACTCAGGAGTCTTGCTGAGGTATCATGTCTTTTAACTTCTGTATTTAGACTACTCCTTACTTATTTGGTTAATAAAAACATTCAGAGCTTCTTTAATTGAATGTCAAACTTATTTGGTCAATAAAAACATTCAGAGCTTCTTTAATTGAATGTCAAACGCCCAAATTTGACACCACTATTTTGCCGCAATGCTTTACTTGCTCTAATTTGGCATTTGGTTGTTTAGTAATTGATATGTTGACTCTTCACTTTATAATTATAACATTACCATTTTACTGTTACTTAAAAATTTTAAAAATTATCCTTTTACAAGTTCCAAAGCTCAAAATTTGTGACAAAAACTAGATATAACATCTAATCTAGCATTATGGATTGGAGTTGGTATTTTTACATTGTTTTTTTGACGCCAAATTAAGCATTCACATTAACATTTGGATTGGAGATCGTCTTAAACATGTATTTTTGCTTAGATTATAGAACGCACTAACGTCTATCAATTTTTGTAGAGATTGACACTTTTTCCTTGGTACTTCATTGGAAATGAAACATGACAAATTCACTAATCTAGTTGTTCTCATTTGTTTTTGCAATTTACTTTTTTCAGGTGCAAAGCTGATGGGTTCTACACCATTGGATCTTGCTAGGTCTAACTTCGCCAAGAGTGGACAAATAAGTAGGAATGCGCTTTGCCCATGTGGTTCCAATAAGAGGTATAAAAGGTATTCCCTGCTTCCGACCTTTACAGAAAGATTTTTTAAGATTTAAATAAATCATGAACTAGAAGGCATTCTTTAGTGTAGCTACGTGCATGAGACAGAATATCAGGATCACATCTTTTATTAGTGTCGTTCAATGCTTGATTTTAAGTTGATTATCTAATGTCTTAGATTAATCTTAAACCTTACTTCTATTTAATCTGTTTACTCTGTTTGTTCTGATAATAGGTGCTGCGGGAAGAACTGAAGTGATTGAAGAACAAAGTAAACAACGCCCAGAAAAGATCCCTACTCTACCATGGAGATGGAGTTTGGAGAGTCCATCAGAACTCCTAGAATCAATTTTTGAGGTCTTAAATGTCGAAGCCTTTTGTTTTATTTTGGCTAGTTAGACGAGTTGGTCCATGGATTCAATCAAATTTGGGGAGATTAAATGGTCAGAAAATTGTTTTTGAGAAATGGATCATTTTAATTTGTCAGTTCAATGGTGGGCTTCTCACTAAATTTAAGCAACATTTGTCCCTATTTGAACATTTCTAAGTACCATTCTTTGCTCTAATCATTGCATTTAGTAGGACAACAATTACACAAGAGGGAACTAGAAATCTCAATATTAATTAATCAATCATCAACTCTAAGTACGAATTACAATTACTAAGATATTTATAGAGAGCTGACTGATACCAACAAAAAAGATAAATTTAACTAAATCTAAATAATCCTACAGATAATTTTTTATTCAACAATAAACACTAAAGTTAGAATATATCCTAATAGATAATTATACAAAATTAAATTCACAATTCTAACCGATTCTTTATCGTTTTCCCCGAAAAGAAAAACTTAATTCCAACAAGTTTATACTGAAAAGAATCGTAAAACAACAGATTCCAACAAGTTTATACCGAAAAGAATCGTAAAACAACAGTCCGACGTGCAAGAAACTCTTCCATCACAATATTGGATTATGTATAAAAATAAAAATAAAAAAGCCACAGGAACTTGATATGTGAGAAACATCTTTGCTGTAAAGAAAACATAGGAGTTTGAATGTGAAGAGAAAATTGAAAAGCGAAATCTGCCAGGTTCATGCACACGTCCTACAATTATTGGAAAGCAAGGTCCCAACTCACGTGATGATGTCAACCCAAATATTGAAACGAAACCCACTAGTCAACCAATAACGACGATCGACTTTCAGCAACTCCGACAACTTCAATTTGAAAACTCATGGATAGCTCCCACCTAAGAGAAGCCACCTTATCATTGGGCATGAAATTGTAAGATAATGCCAGATAATCCAACCTGTGGGGCCTGTGCTGTAGGATATATAACATTATTCATTTACTATAAAAGTCCTAGCACAAGCTAGCATGAGGTAACATCTTTTAGAATACATCATCACAACACAAGAATATACTAAATGTCCCGACTCCTGAGAGTAGTAATGGAAGTTATGTCGTCGAGGCCTAGACAAATTACTCTCCAGCCATTCAAGATCTCCGATGTTGACGATTTTCTCGCATGGGCTGGCGACGACACCGTGACGCGATACTGTCGGTGGGACACCTATCGACAAGAAGTGGTGAACCTCTATTAGCCTTTAGGTACTTAATCGCTATACTTGACCGACGTCGGCTCTATATGGTAAGAAAAAAAGATATGATTATATTACAAAACGCTTTATTTGGTAGGCCCTTTATTCTATTCCTTGGAAAGGAATGACGGGCATCTTTCTTGTTACTACTCTATCTAAGGTAGGCCCTTTATTCCATTCCTTGGAAAGGAATGGCGGGCCTCAAACGCTTGACTTTTTATAAGGTCGGCCCTTATCCCATTTCTTCAGAATGGTGGGCCGTTAATACAAGGAGTGTCGTCCTTTTATTTCATTCCTTCAGAATGGCGGTCATAGAGTCTCACCCTTGGTATAGAGCTATATGTGCTGATGGCCAACCGATGGGGTCGATAAGATGTCCCGACTCCTGAGAGTAGTAATGGAAGTTATGTCGTCGAGGCCTAGACAAATTACTCTCCAGCCATTCAAGATCTCCGATGTCGACGATTTTCTCGCATGGGCTGGCGACGACACCGTGACGCGATACTGTCGGTGGGACACCTATCGACGAGAAGTGGTGAACCTCTATTAGCCTTTAGATACTTAGTCGCTATACTTGACCGACGTCGACTCTATATGGTAAGAAAAAAAGGTATGATTGTATTACAAAACGCTTTATTTAGTAGGCCCTTTATTCTATTCCTTGAAAAGGAATGACGGGCATCTTTCTTGTTACTACTCTATCTAAGGTAGGCCCTTTATTCCATTCCTTGGAAAGGAATGGCGGGCCTCAAACGCTTGACTTTTTATAAGGTCGGCCCTTATCCTATTTCTTCAGAATGGTGGGCCGTTAATACAAGGAGTGTCGTCCCTTTATTTCATTCCTTCACAATGGCGGTCATAGAGTCTCACCCTTGGTATAGAGCTATATGTGCTGATGGCCAACCGATAGGGTCGATATATGTGATGCCCGGAAGTAGTGGGAAAGACGAGAGAAGAGGAGAGATAGGATATGCTGTGAAAGCAAACTATTGGGGTAAGGGAATAGCAACAGAAGCTGTGAAGTTGGCCTTATCTTGTGTTTTTAAGGAGTTGAAGTTTTTGGATAGAGTTGAAGGGTTGGTGTTTGAAGAGAACAAAGCTTCACAGAGGGTACTTGAGAAGGCTGGCTTTGTTAGAGAGGGTGTTTTTGAGAAAGTATTTCTTTGTCAAGGGAAAGAGTAGGGATATTGTTGTTTACAGCATTGTAAACTCAGACTAGTAATTGGAGATGGACCGTCCTCTCAGAAAATGTCACATCTCAGCTTGAATTGAAAACTCGAATCTGCGAAGTGAACGAGGCCTTAATATATTCAACTGCTATGTTATTTTAGAATTTTATAGCTAAGTTGGTTCTTAAACAGATTTAGATTGTCGTATGTTTATGTATTGATTAATCTCTTCTTGATTTTGTGATCAATTAGAATTATCTAGGTTTGGTGTGTTGTTTTTAGGTTTCATCTGCGTTGCTCCTCCTCACATATATTGGTTTCTACTTTATGATGATTGCTTCAAAAGAGTTGGTTGAAGGATTGGTTTATTTACCTTTCTGAATTGCTTTCTTGTTTTAGTTTCTCAAGGCTTCATGGTAAATTTGTCTACGGAAATGCTGAATTGCCTCCCGGGTTGCTTTGTTCGAATGCTTTCTAAATTGCTTGGTCAAGATGAAGTAGGCTAGTCCTATTTATAGGCAAATTCCAAGAAAATTTATGATTTAATTAATAAAGTTTATTTTAAATTGTTTAGTGTTATTAATTATACCAAATGTTGTAGGTCTCCTGGACCATATGCTCAGATGTTGCCACGTATAAGACTCCCCCTTACATTTTATTTGTTAATTTTCTCTGTCTTTTGATTCCTGAAGAAAGTTTCATAGCTACTTCTCTTATGTATATTTTGTTTCATTAATCTTCTTTTGCTTAACCTTGTGTTCTTTGACGAAAGTTTCATACACAACCGTACCGTTGCTACTTCTTATATATATATATATATGTTTGTTTTGTTGATTGTTTAGAGACTCATATGATATTTGTTTATTCCTTTAATTTTGCCAAATTCTACAATAAAGAAATCTTTTCAGTTAATATCTCAAATGAAGATTACTAATTGTTCATGCAAGTATATATCACACTAGCTATAAGTATGCCATGTCATTAGATGGACAATTAAATATTATAAGAAACTACAAGGAAACTTCATCGAAGTTTACTAATTAAGTAGCACATATATATATATATATATACATATTTATGTGTGTAAGATTGATTCAATCTAATTTTTAAATAATGTTTCACAAGGATTTTGTGATGACTCCCTTATTCTAGTGTAATTCTCATGGTATCTTGTTTATAGGGCATCTAACATTACTAGTCTAGTCGCACTAGAGTGGGTCCCATAAAATTATTGTACTCAATCACACCATGCCACATCCTATGACATTTTCTCGAGTGTATAATCCAAAATCCATCCCCGATCCATTATGTGCCCCAAAACATAGTCTATAAGAATGTGGTGAAATAAAGTATTTTAGTTTGCATCATTTGTCGTCCCTCGTGGATGACTTGTCATTGAGGACATTTAGTTTATATATTCAGAATTATAATTTAAAATTATTATCGTTTTACGTATTTTTTTTGTGAGAGAAAATACTGTAAAGAACCATGAATTATGATTTAAAATTAGAGATGAATATAGAAAACAAACGTAGTGTTGTTTTTTTTTTTTTTTTTTTTTTTTTCGATTTTTTTTTTTTTTTTTTTTTTTTTTTTTGAGAACTGCTGTTGTAAACTTTGAAACGAAAACCCACTTTGTTTTTTATACATACTTTACATAACCAATAAATTTTCAAGCTGAAGACTAATGTGTTTCTTTTTTGAAAGTAAAACATTTCATTAATCAACAAAGCATGCAATTTTTGAAGAAGTAAACGACAAGCCGTTTTAAGAAAATGACAATTATTTTTAGACAATTAACGACAATACGCAATATTGTTATGTCGTAGCTAGATGGCAGCAATAATTTAAACAGAAAACGATGTGTTTTCTTAATAATATTCCGACTGGTGCAAACTTTGGGGGTTGTTTTTCTAGTCTGAAAAGGATTAGGAAACAACATCCATTTTAAGCACAAAAAGAAAAACAAAAAAAAGTAACAACATCCTTTCCTTATAAAAAAAAAAAAAAAAAAAGTTGCAACATCCATTTTACCAATCAGAAATTTGCCATTTTTTAAGTCACCTAACTTGCATTTTGAGGTTAAAATATTTTAGGCCAGCCGATCTTGACCCACTCCAAAGCAGAAAAGGATATTCCAAAGGACCCTACTAACATTCTAATTCCGTTTTAAACTGATTTAATTTCTCATAAAGTCCCTTTCTTCCTTTATTTTCAATGCTCGGAATTTTCTCAGCAGTTTCATTATCTAATTTTTTAGCAACAAAAGATCTGAAATTGATCAGTCTTCATGATAAGATTATAATAGAAAGAAGAAAAGAAATGAATCAATTATGATACCATAATATTATCCTTGAAAAAAATAAAAAATAAAAAGCTCTCAATACGTGAGGTCTTTCACTCCCTTAAGTAACTGATCAGTTTTGTATATAAAATATGCTTTAAGACACCAGTTTAATGCTAATTCAAAGTAGCCAAGCCACACGACAGTGTCTGCCATTGTTCAACTATCATGGAGATCAACTTATCAGAGATCACTCTCCGTCCATTTAATCTAACGGACGTGGACGGCTTGATGTCATACGCGGGCGACGATCAAGTGACACGGAAACTCAGATGGAAGACGTTGACCTCCAAAGATGAGGCGTTGACTTTCATCAAAGATGTTTGCATACTGCGCCCTTGGCGCCGTTCCATATGCATTGACGACCGTTCGATCAGTTTCATCTCCGTCTTCCCAGGATCGGGCGATGACAGGTGTAAGGCCGACATAGGGTATGGTGTAGCCCCAAAATACTGGGGCCAAGGAGTAGCCACAAGGGCAGTGGAGATGGCACTTCCACTTGTGTTCAAGGACTTGCCTGAGGTGGTAAGGCTTCAGGCTTTTGTATTTGTAGAGAACAAGGCCTCTCAAAGGGTTCTAGAGAAAGCTGGCTTTCAAAAAGAAGGCCTTCTTAGGAGTTATTGTTTTATCAAGGGAGTACTAAGAGATTTATTTGTCTATAGTTTTCTCTCCACGGATTTTCCTTCTGATCGAGACTAGTTGAAATTGATGATCAGCAGTTAATTGTTAAGAGGAGGTTTCATTGTTTCATGTTGTGAAGTTACCAATGCTTTGTTTATAATTATGACCATATATATATTGGTGATTTTTTTTTTTAATTTCTATTCTATTTTCCTTCCCAACCGTATTGGTACACAAAAACCAATGTTGATCAGCTGTGACGGATTTAGTAATTTAGAACTAATTAATCGTCAAAGCGATAGTTACTCCTTCCAAAATGAAATTATAGTCTGCAATGATAACTTAAGGCCCGTTTAGAACATATATTTTAAGTCGGGAAATAGTAAAAAATAGGCCAACATGAAAAATTTAAGAAAGTATATAAGCTAATTTTTAGTTATAGAAATTAATAGGCCATAACTTGTCAAATTATGATTCATAACCAGATAAGTTATGGACAAACTTATCAAGTTATGGTTCATAACCAGACAAGTTATGAACAATTATTGACAATAACTTGTCAAGTTATGGTTCATAACTAGACAAGTTATAGACGAAAATAGTAATTTGACCTATTTATTAATTTATGTAAACTATTGGCCTATTAATATTAATTCATCTCAAGTCTTGACATATTTTTCTCTTTTTCCCTTTTAAGTCATGATTTGGATTTGTTAACGGGAATTTTGTGAGAGGAAATTTTAGAATTCAAACTCTTTATAAAATTAAAAAAAAAAAAATACTATAAGAGAATCTAAATTTAGATTTGAATATATGTCCCAAACAAGCTCTCAATGTTTTTCTATCATAAGCCTCAAAGTTGTAATATGAACAGCTGAAGTAAAATTGCATGAACATCTTGAGCCAAAAAAAAAAAAAAAATTTGTATGAACATCAAAATTGAGATTCTAAGAACACATACTGGCACGGATAACATATTCACAATAAGAACCATTCAATATTCACCAGTTCAAAAGCAACAAAGTTGCTAGAAATATATGTTACTAATTTTCCGTGTTCTACCATAAGCCTATAAAAGAACAGCCGTACTTGGATCTTTTGGTCGCTAGCTTTTGCCCTCGTTCAAGTATATGCAAACTGGAACTGGTTCGTGTTTGCAAACATACAAAAACAGTACGGCGGTTGGCTATAACTCGTGCCCCTAATTTTTTTTTTTTTTTAATTGAAATGATGCAAAGAAAAAGAAATCTGTATCTGTGGAATACATAGGATATATATTATCAACTATGGACATGCAACTATACAAAAAGGCCGGCCGCAGTCTTTAGGCAGCAGTAGAAATTACATACATCACACAATTTTGTCTACAGGCTTTTTTTTTTTCTTTCTTATTTTTTTCCCTTTATAAACCTATTCCTTTTGATTTGTCGCTTACAAGAATAAATATATACCAATCAAGGCGAATCAATGGAACGGAACGCCTCTTTATTCACACTTGAGATAATGAAACATTTTCAGGAGTAGAGTTTACTGAAATTTCTCGCGGTGATGATGAACTTGACTGGTCCAGATTGGATGGTACGACAAGCCGCTGCAAGGGCTTGAGAGCTACTGTAAGCTGCAGAAATGAGGGCCGCAAGTTCGGTTCACTGCAAAGTAACAGGACAAGAAAACAATCAATTGAACTAGATATATTCAGTGGAGTATAAATGCTAGATACATGCACAGAGCTTCCGTAACTTACGTTTGCCAACATTCCCAGATTATTCTTGCAACCTTGGGATCTACTTCCTTGGGTATGTCGAGACGTCGATTCTGAAAACCCACAGCACCTACAACTTGCATGGGGTTCATCCCACTCCAAGGCAATCTAAGGGTAGCAAGCTCCCACAAAATGATTCCAAAGCTGTACACGTCACACCTATACATTGACACAGTAGCCATAAAATTATCATATAGTGGCCTCATATATTTACTCAAACTACATAATATTATCATATAGTGCAAAGCTATGTTAAAGCCAGCCCATGAAATGTAAAACCAGAGAATAATTCAATTGGAAAGACATACGATAAATAAGAAAATCAAACAAAGATGACAAGATTATGTCGACTTCCCCTTATTAATGCAATCGATTGAACGACTTTAGTTCAATTTAGAGGTACCACAAGCATGGCAACCAATCCTAAAGGCCCTCTACCCCCTCCCTACTCATTCCTGCCCTGCTTTTTTGGGCTTCTTACCACTCAATTCCTACACAGCTTTTATAATTTGTTTATTGCTTGGAAGAATGAATTTGGTTAGTGTCAACCATTCAACCATATCCAACAAGATGATATTTCAGTTTCTGAACTGTAAGTTCCTTGATTGAAGCTCAATATTTGTCTCGCAGAAACAAAATGCCACGCCACCAAACGAAACGTGAAGTAGTCACTTGAATAATTACATAACAGGCATTTATTGCAAAAGAATGAGAACATACAACCACCAAAGTGAAAACATATGCAAGACTGCCAAAAACTTACTTTTCATTGGAGGGTTCATTGCGAAGGACTTCAGGCGCCATCCACTCAGGCTAAACTCAAAAAAAAAAAAAAAAATCAATAAAAAACTTTAAAAAATAAAAATAAAAAGTAAGACCAAACAATTCTTACCGTTCCTGCAGTTGATTTGGATGACAAGAAAGTGTTATGTTTTAGGCGTGACAACCAAAAAAAAAAAAAAAAAAATCAATAAAAAACTTTAAAAAAAAAAAATAAAAAGTAAGACCGAACAATTCTTACCGTTCCTGCAGTTGATTTGGATGACAAGAAAGTGTTATGTTTTAGGCGTGACAATCCAAAATCACCAACCTGTACAATTGGATTTCAAACTTTGCGTTACAAGAGATGAACCGACAATAATTAAAAAATCAAATGCCAAATTACTTTGCCAGGAAATTCTGGCATTCGTTGAACTTATAAACAAACAAGATATCTAGTAAATGCACAAGCACAACTTACAACTCGATTCCTTAGGTTTTCCGCTCACAAGCTAAACTTAATCAAATCAAAAAATAGTTTTCTATTCCTTCCCCTGTCCTGAAACTAGATGTGCTCTATCATGACCATCCTATTTTTATTAATACACAAACGAATTCCTCTGGATCTAAGAAGACCTTCTAGAATACACACAAACTCTGAATTAAATGTCAAAACCTTGAACTGCAGTACCTTTAGCTCATGAAAGTTTATCCACACTGACATAAAAAGAAAAGAAAAGAGCCCATTGTTTAGCTGGCGGGCTCAAACACCTATCATTTAGCTCCTTTTAATTTCCCTTTGTTCCCTACCTTCTATTCTATCAGTTACCCCTATGGCTACGAGTATTATACAAAAGATCTTTACATTATACTTTACAGAAAAGAGCACGACTAATGTAACCAATAGAATGCATGCTTATTTCACAATTGAAAGTAATTACGTCAAAACAGAACTCATCACTCATGCGTTGCCATTTTAGTTGATCAGGACATAATAAACATCACGTACAACCAGAAACACCAATGACTGTTAAGAGAATTTTACATTTCATTACCCACACAAGCTCCACCAAATTGATGAAAATTAAAACTGTCATTGTGCGATATTATTTATCTAACAAGAAAGAAATCAATGTAAAAGGATACTAAAACAACCAGAGAAAAATTCATACCTTTACATTCCAGTTTTTATCAACCAAAAGATTAGGTGACTTCAAATCTCGGTGAACAATTGTAGGTATGCTGGTATGCAAGCAATTCATACCCCTAGCCTGCCAAAATGAATGGTGAACAATCAGCGAAGATAAGAAAGTATGCTGATTGAAAAAGAATATAAATGCATTATCTCATACCACATCAAGAGCCATCTTAATTCTACGTTTCTCATCAATTTGAAAGAGAGGACGATGGATAATCCGATATAAGCTTCCTCTGGAAAACAGAACGCCAAAATGAACGAAGCACTTAATGAGCAAGGCTAATACATTTAACCAGTGTAAATGCAAAAGATTAGGTCGGGTTAATTCAACAGTCAACACCACTTGCTAAAGGATTGTTTTAGCGCCCCCTCCCCCACTCTTCAAAAAAAAAAAAAAATCCCGCCACTGTAGAAGTATGATGTAAACATGAATGCATATTTATACCTTGGAAGAAACTCGGTAACAATTGAGAGGTTTGGTGGTCGAGTAACAGCACCCATAAAAAGAACCACATTTGGATGACGCAACCTACGCATAATCCGTACCTTAAATCCAAAAACAAAGATAAGATATGCAAAGTTAACTTTCATTAGTCCGAAGTTATATTAGCAATAATGGTCACCAACTTCATCACATCCAATTTTATCCCACCAGCGTTGATATCAAGAATCAAGTTCTTTGTATTCTTAGTGTGAAACCACTAGCTATCTCAGTGTAAAGGCAGAATTTAAATAACTACTTATCTAAATCATACTTTCACAAAAATTTTCCAAATACCATTGGAAAATACATAGAGCAATATTAGTTAACTGAGCACACTTAGAGAAAATAAACAAAGAAAAAATTACTGCTTACTTCTCTTTTAAACTCATCCAAAGCAGCGCCTGAAAAGTCCTGGTCTAAGAACTTCTTCACAGCTACCTCCTGTAATTCACCAACAATTCTAAAGTCAGCTGTCAGGAATACACACATGTTGGAAAATCATTTAAAGCAAGACGAAATCCTCTGTGAGTGGATAAAAAACAGAATATGAAAATTCCCCATAATAATAGCAACATAAGAATAACCACTATGAGAAGATGACAAGAAGCAACATTTAAGAAGACTATCAAGACTGTAACAAGAACAATGAAAACTTAAACATTGTACGGGAGGGGAAAAACAGAAAAGAGTTTCCTTGTACTTATAGTTCACGAAAAGTAGTCGCTGGTTGGTGATTACATGAAATAACTGACCAAACCTCTCATACACCTACGTTAAGAAAACTCTTAACTGAAACACTTCCAAATTTTAACAAAATAAAAAGATAAATAGCATCGGGTAATAATGAAATGTATAAAATAGAAACTCACCGTTCCATTCCAATCTGCATGATAAACTTCTCCATATGAACCTAATTTACAGAGAACAGGAAAAGAGAAAAATCATCTATAGTACAAGGAGCCAAGAACTGAATATTAACCGACAGATCTTTATAAGATACACCTGTTAATCCTTGCAAAGACTTCTATCTTTATCTATGACATATGCAAAAGTGGAAAGGACACTAACTTCCACGTAGAAAATATATTTCAGACAAAATTAATATACCACCTAAACAGATAGATGAAACTCATGAACAAGAATATGTACATATGCACGTGTATATACATATATGTAACATACTTAAAGAGAACAAGAATATGTACATATGTACGTGTGTACACACACACACACACACATATATGTAACATATTTAATGAGACAGACAGTGGGAGAGAATGACATTAGCAAAGCTTTGAGTACCACCACACTTGCCCCCCTCCACCAGGAGAGAGAGAGAGAGGGAAAAAAAAAACAAGGCAGCTATGTGCATTACCTAGACCAATCCTTTCACCAAGAACTAGATCCTCCCATGATATTTCGCATTCACCTACATCTACATCATCAAATACTTGATCAACCCTATTCATACTGGAACCAACTGATAAGAAAGGAGTTTCTGGATCCTTCAGTTTCTGATTGTTCTCCACAAATCTGTCATGTGGGCGTTTCCCACCATCATTTAAAACAATTTCATTCTTTTCACCTTCTTTAACCACATGTATCCAATCATTTCGTAAATCATTTGCATCTCTTGGATGTTCTTCCTTGAGGTTATTGTTGTGATCATCTTCTGAAAACTTATTGCGTTCATTGGTGCTTGCTGCCGACTCTGAACTGTAATCAAAATTAGAATTCTTTTCACCATTTTCCTTACTGGATGTGTTCGTATTACCAGAAGATTTGATGCCCTCGTTATTGATCTTTTCAGTTGAACTAGAGCTGGTGGAGGCTAATGATGAAGAATTATTATAATCATTAGGTTCACGATTAATTCTAGGGAAAAGACCCTCCATATAATCTTTCTCCTTCTTCGTAGGGACTTCATTGCAAGCATAACGGCTTTTCCACATCAATGGTACAGGAGGTCGGCCAGAGACGGGCTTATTTCTTGGTCTGTGGAGCTCATCAACTTTATTGTCTGCAGGTTTGTTGTATACAGCATTCTTTCCGGGTCCTTTTAAATGGAATGGATTAAGATCAGCAAAAAGATCCTTAGGGTCCTCCTGATTTTGATTATATGGGACCACATTAACATTCATTCTCACACCACCATCAACTGCATGAGCTCCACGACTGCCCTTATAATAAGTATTCCCAATGGTTGACGAGGCAGTTTGATCTAAGTGAGTAGGAAGAGTAACCTTATTAGATACTCTAGAAGAACCAACACCATTATCAGCACTTGAACCGGGAATTGAAGGAAGAAATTCCGCCTTTTCGGATCTTGGTCTTCTATCCAGTACCAAGTTACTTTCAACTGTAGGATTTTGACTGCTGCCCTCTCCTTGCAATGGCTTTGATCCTGAATAAGCAGCTCCAGTATTATTCAGGGAATATTGCACTGGGATTTTGCTTATATTTGGATTATACGGCCTAAAGGAGAAATCTTTTGCACTTGGAATATCAGCTGGTATGAGTGTTCCAGGAGCTGCCATGAGATCAACCAAAAACTCCCTGGAGACAGAAATATATGTTCATAACCATGTAGAAACCACAAACAAAAAGAAGAGCAAACTACATAAGTAGTCAAATAAATTTACTAACAGCAATATATTTAGATAAAAGTAAAACTAAAAAGTACAAGTTAATTTATTATAACCTTTCATCTTCCAACTTTAATACATTGACAGCATCATCTTCAACACCTGTATAATGACTGCCTTTCAGAAGTCTACAGGACATCTTGATATTATCTGCTAATACCTACATCCGAGGAAACAGGAAAAGTAGGTAAGAAACACAGACGATAAGACTCGTAATAAAAGATAACTAAAATTTTAATATATAATTAGAAAAATGTTTGTGAGAAAATAGGGAATTCATTCAGATAAGAGATTCCGTGTATATCCTTCCACACACACACGTGCGCATGTGTGGAGTGTAAAAAACACAATGACCTAACATTTCATGAAAATAAATACCATAAGAGGCCATGCTGAAAATGGTACAGCCCAGACAAAAGAAAAAAAAAAAAAAAAGAAGTATTGTGGGATAGGGTAGCAGCAAACCTTAAAGAGTAAAGCACGATGTCTTGAGAGGCCAATAGTTATAGATCCGATGGGAAACACACTTGTGTGCAGAGACGTCCTCAACTCCATACTTCTTTCCATCCACCTAGCCAACATGACATTGGCATCTTTAACAGGCCCACCCATATGTCCCGTAACAAGTTCCGCAAGCCTCTGAACCAAAACGCCAACCTCACTTATGGGGCAGTCTAATGCAATACATTGCGCAATTTGAATTAACTCTTCCAATGCAGGGTCAACAGTTTGATTGACTAATAAAACTTCGAACCCAGAACTCCGCGTGTTTGACTCAAGATTTGAGAGAGAAGGCATTTTTCCTTGAATTGCTGTTTCTGTTGAGAGTCCATACACGTCATAGAAACCATCGACCACTTTTTCCTCATAATCAAGCACATTGTATTCCTAGTGATCAATAATACCCAAAAATACACAAATTTTCAGCAGAAGTGAATAAAATCAAACCACAAATGCCAGTAAAAAAACAAGAATTAATTGAATAATTTCAACGTAAACATTCAACATCTCCTAAACGCGCACTGCCACCTGGATTTTCACATCATAGTGACTGAGCAAGCAACTTCGATTCTTTAGGACGGCCACCAGCAAACATACTGAAGGGGGAGGGGATTGTATACTAGTTCGTCACCAAGATCCCATATAAGGGGGAAGTGGAGACCAAAAATGGATAATGGCCAAGTAAACAAAAGAACATGCTTGACCAACATTAGACTAACATATAAAGTAACAGTAATTTGGCCCAAATAAACCCACAAACTCAATAAGTATCACTGCCTACTTACTGCCAACATTAGACTAGCATCATTAAAAGAATATATATATATATAT